TTTTTTTCTTTCTCTCAGTCTGGGTGAACGCGGTGTGGGAGCTGGATTTCACCGAGGCCGACCCTCTGGATTCCAGGGTAGCAGAGGAGATCACGGGAGATGGACTCGATGCTTTCACCGAGCTTTACCGGTCCCTGCTGCCCTTCGCTGCGGAGCACCGAGAGAACGGAGAGGTGAGGCCAACGGCTTCGCAAAGATGCGGGTCCTGGGCTTTTCCCCTTACTCCGGCCTATCCTGCCTTGAAAAATTTGCAAAGCGTGCCAAGACCGCCCCAAACGATTCTTGTCGTATGTGCCGGAATGCTTCAGAGGCAAGCTGAAGTTTAAAAAACAAAAGGCCCAAGTTTAAAAATAGGTGTTTACAATTTAATATCATATAAATTATACACAGTATTATATATCATAACATCATTATTAAAGCCTATTATAAAAACACATATCTCATACTATATATATAGGGGGTTGGTTGCGGTGGCAATTGTTAAAATGTGAATAGTTGCGACTGGCAGAGAGCTATGTCATGACGGGATTTCTCACCATGACTCGTGTATTTTGCCTCAGAATATCTGGACCTTTTTTGCGGAAAACAACTTGTCGCCCAATGCTCTTGTGGCTGTGTTGCACCACTTTGTCCAAGCGGGCCAGCGTAAAAGAGCTAACGCACAGCAGAGGGTTTACGCTCTTCATGCGGCTGGGTTGTACTTCTTGCTGCTGGAAATCCCAGGTGAGCGAAGGGTTGTGCCTCTTTATTGCTGGATAAAACATCGTTCAGGCAAAATCAGCTTTCTCTTATTTGAAAGAATTCCAGGTGGAACAAGTGACGGCTTTTGAACTGTTTGCCTGATCTCCCCGAAATCCTTGGGGATGAAGCTCAGCCGCGGTGTTGAGCGCTGAACAGCTGTTATGGTCTGATAGCAGCTTGGTCTCCTGTCATATAGCGGCTTGATGGTCTCCGTCCGGGTCTGCGTTGCCGTGCACCTTCTGAGTAGTTCTGTGACAAGGTCAACAGAGGAGTCTGCACGGTACACAGAGCTGGAACCACACATCCCCCTCTGGTTTGACAATAATACGCAGTGAAGGCAGAAGCTTATTCCTGTTCCTGCTCTGTAACTAGAGAGGATTTCACTGTGCAGTGCTTTTGGACAGGCTCATTTGTGAAAACAAAAGTGTTTGTTTAAAATAACCAGCAGTTGGAGTTTTCTAGCAGGTTGATTGGCAGCAGTATCCTTTTGTATTCAAGGCTGGCACATAGCCTAAAGTTTTGCTGGTCTTTGTTGTGCAGCACGTTACCAGCTAGAAGGGGTCAATCAGCTGGTGATCCTACTGGAGAGTGTTGTCGCTGATGACACGTCATCCTGGTGCAGTTTGGCTTTGTTCAAACAATTATTTTTTCTTCTCCTGACCTCTCTTAGGCTCCCAGGACAATGCCTTCGTCCTGGCCATCTATTTGGCTGTCAAAGCAAATGGAGAGATGGTCAGATGGTTTGATGCTCTCTCTGTATTTTGTCTGGAAGGTGCCTGATGTTGTCTTTTCTGGGCAGGCAGCATAGCTAACCAGCTCTTCCATCAAGTGATGTTTGATAAATGTCTTCACACCCTGACAAAAAGTTGGCCTCCAGAACCAGATCTGATGAGGAAAAGAAAGAAGGTGCACGCTCAAAGCTCTCAGGCTGATGCAAGAAGAAATAGAAAGAAAGGAAAACCATGCAGGAATGGCAATGTAAGATGTTTGTCTAATCTCTTCAGATATAAATCTCTATTAATAAGCCAATCATTGGCAAGCTACTTCACTTGTAGGTCAGTGTGATAATCTTCCTCTTTTTCACCCTTTTTTTAATTCTTAACCTTTTATTCAGCTGTTCAGCTGTGCTCTTGATCCTCTACCTATTATTAGGAATTTCAGAGGTCTGATGATTCAACATTAGCTGCAGTTTTCTGGCTGCTGAGTAATAGAAAAAATACAGCTTGTTTGTCTTTGGTGTATTGTTAGAAAGCTCGGTAGCGGAGGGAGAAACTAATTTGTATCAGCTTCTTCAAGAGACCTTGAAGTTAGCACGTGACCAGCTTGCAAATGGCATTTGTGTTTCCTTGCCAACTTACTGATGGGAAGTTAAGGGCTAAATGCTTTGGTTATCTGTACTCAGCTGCTCATTCTAACAGTTATATGATTTTTTTTTTTTATTTTTTTTTTTAACGGAACTGAGGATTATGCGTCAGAAATCCTGAGAGAACATTGGTGCCGCAGAGTCATGACAAGCAAGGAAAGCAGGTCATAGGCACAATGGGAATTACTTGAGATGACTCTCCAAGTGTCAGATTAGAATTCAGATAATTGTCTTCATTTCTGATGGACTTTATCCTTCAAAACGAGAATAGGCTGTGTTGGAGCTTTTTTTTTGTGTCCAGCTTTCATCTTTCTGTCTGGGTTTTTTTTTCCCCACTGTTAAGTGCACTAACTAATCTGAAAGAGAAGATTTAGAATTTTGGATGTGAAATCATGGAAGGACCTAGCCTGAGAACTCTGTGAAGCACCGAAATGTGCAAAAGAGATCAGCCAGTGCTGTGGGACAGGATGGTGCCATTTCTCTTTTCTACCGATATAGATGGACGAGATGTTGGAAGAGGAGGAGGAGGAAGAGGATTGTGAAAATGTTTACTTTACAACGGACGATCTTCTTAAAGTTCGCAACTCAATCTTTCTTCTTTTGAAAAACTTCTTAAGACTTCTACCTAAGTTCTCCCTAAAAGAAAAACCTCAGTGTGTGCAGAACTGCCTGCAGGTAATAAGATCCAACTCAAGGATCCTTATGTCCCCCAACACAAACTTTTGGTGGATGCAGAGCGCTCCATAGCCATGGGAGTGATGGCAGCCCTGCCTTTCATAAACTGGTCCCCTGATTAGACATTCGAGTGTCCTCAGTGTAAATCTTGGCGTGGGGTGCCTGCTCCTTAGCACTTGCTGGCTAGTGCCGGCTGGGCGGTTCATGTTTTGTTCTGAGATGCTTAACCCTCACTGTACCCGGGGGGAAGACACACAGTGTTGAGCCTCTGGGCTTTGGGGTCTGCATCAAGGGAGGTGCTGCGGTCGGAAATTTAGACTCGAGTTCTCTGTGGTCTGACCCCCAAGCATCCAAGCAGACCTGCACGTCTTGTTCTCGTATGAATTAGCTAAGCTTGTCTTTCTTTCCTTGCAGATCTTTGTTGAAATGACAAACTTTGAGGCAGCAGCACATGAGTTTGAGTTTTCCCCAGCAATGTGAGCAAGTAGTTCTTAATGTTTATACTGTGCTTTGAACAAGTAAAGTGCTCGATGCTTATGTTGTTATTCTGTGTATATGAAAATGAAAGCAGTGATTTCTTTCGCTAAAGATAATTGGAACATGTTCCACCTCACTAACAGTAAACAACACTTAGTGAATATTGAATGTTTTCCAGTCAATGAGCACATTTACTTGTAATAGTTGTAGTAAATGTTTCTCTGATGAGAGATGAAGACATCTCTTTGCTTTCTTTTGCTTAGGAATGTTAACGAAGCCAAGTACATTCCCGAGCTCGCCTATCACGGACTGCGATTACTGTGTTCCCCTCTGCATGGTCCAGAAGATAAGGTAAAAGTTGGACCAAATCTTTAAAATCCTTACTGCAGTATTGAAAAGGAGTAATTGTTTCTTTCCTTCTCTGCATGTCATTTTTGCTTGTACGCTTTTTACTTTTTACATTAGTTTTACTTTTTGTGTGTGTGCTGGGTCAGAGGCAAGATGCTGTTTTCCACACCAGTCCTTATTTCCTTTGACCTGTGTGATGATGCATTTTGTGTGCATTGAATTCTGTGCTCCAGTGACTTGTGGCAAATGAATCGAAAACAGAGGATAGCTACAGCGGCATTAGATTTCTGTATCTTAAAAAAAAAAAAAAAAGAATTCCAGGTCACTGCATTTGCCTGGAATTTTCCTGTTTCCTGCTAGGTGGAGCTCCAGCACTGCTTGGTAGCTGCTGTGGCATTGGGCTGTGCAGCAGCGAAGCATGATGGGGAAGTGTTATGCGCAGATGATGGTGAGCAGGGTTGATTCTTATTCAGAGAATAATCTGTCATC